TCATCCATATTTGGTTGTACCCGGAGTACGTATCGAGAAAACTGAGGATCTCGTGGCAGGTCGTGGCATCGATCATGCGATCAATGTTGGGCAAAGGGAAGGAGTCCTTGGGACATGCCTTATTCATTTCTTTATAGTCTACACACATTCTTATTTTATTCCTTTTTTAAGGACTACCACTACGTTTGCTAACCAATCCAGGTATTTAAACTCCCTAATGGATCCTATTTTAAAGATTTCTCGTCCTTGATGAAAGCATGTTTGACCTCGGACTGGGCCTCATCTTTTTCTTGACTGGGTGGCACTTCAAGTCCATGTTTAGCTTGTAAGTGGTTATCTCCGGCGGTATCCTTGTCATATCAAGGTGGGACCAAGCGAAACAATCTTCGTTAGATATAAGAAATTGAATGAGTTATTTCCTGAGCTTGGGGCTTAACCCCGTGCCTAGGTATACCTTTCGATCAGGCAAATGTTCGGTTAGCACGACTTGTTCCAGTTCCTCGACCGTTGATTTTGTAGCATCGGAATCATCGGGGGATATGAAATATCTGGGGACTCTATAATCGTCGTCCTCGTATACTCTTTGTTCCTTCGATTTCGTCGAGGCTGGTATCGGTGATTGCTATTTGGACCCATCTTTGACCATCCGATTTGGATCCTCCGATGTCGAGAGTGTGGATGCCGTGATTACCTCATCGACCGCAAACATCTCATTGGCGGCCGGTTTTTCCCATAAGCTATTTGGACTCCTTCGGATGTTGGGAATTTTAGCACCTGGTGTAGTGTCGAGGGTACTGCTCTCATGTTGTGAATCCATGGCCTCCCGAACAAAGCGTTGTATCTCATATCTCCTTTGATTACATAGAACTTGGCTTCCTGCACAGTTTCAGCGATGTTCACCAGTAATGTTATTTTCCCTTTAGTGGTCTCGCATGCCATGTTGAACCCGTTCAGGACTCGGACCGTAGGTACGATCTGATCTTGTAGGCCGAGTTGTTCTACGACCCTTGATCTGATGATGTTGGCTGAGCTACCTGAATCAATTAACACACGCTTAATTCGAGATTTATTTACGAGTACCGATATTACCAGTGCGTCGTTATAGGGCTGCACGACCCCCTCAGCGTCTTCGTCGTTGAAGACAAGGTTCCTTCCGGTACATAATCCCGAGTCTATTTTTCCCTTGTGATGGATACTTTGGTGCATTTCAGCATCAGACCCTAGGGAATGTCGACTCCACCGATGATTATGTTAATGACGCGCTAAGTCTCTTCCTGCTCGGTCTTCTTATGAGAATCCCTATTCCTGAAGTAGTTCTTGGCCCGATCACTCATAAACTCTCGGAGATGCCCGTTGTTGAACAGTCGGGCCAACTTTTCTCTTAATTGTCGACAGTCTTCCGTTCTGTGGCCATGAGTGCCATGATATTTGCATATTAAGTTGGGATCCCTTTGGGATGAATCCGATTGTAAAGGTCTAGGCCATTTGGTATCTTTGATGCGTCCGATGGCAGATACAATAGCAGCGGCATCGACGTTGAATTGTACTCCGATAATCTCGATGCTTTTTTAGCCCCGACGGGCCTGTCGAAGCTGGTTTTGCTCACGAGTCCCCGGTTGCTCTCGATCACTTCTCCTTTCATTTTTCATAGAGTTCCGCTCGGACCCACTGCTTCTTCGATCTTCATTATACGGTTGATACCGATCCCTGTTTGATCTTTGTTCACGATCAATGTCTCTCTTGACTCTATCGATGGTTCTGACGGGATACACGAACCCGGAGGGGCCCCAAGTTGATAATCTTCGATCCTGATTTTCGATTGATACCAGTTATGGATATCGGCCCAAGTGACAGCCGAATATTTCACCAAATTTTGTTTTAACTACTGTGAAGCCAACGAGCTCCGAACATTGAGTCCTTGGGTAAAAGCTTGAACGACCCAATCATCAGCGACCGGTGGCAGGTCCATCCGTTCCATTTAAAACCGGGACACGAACTCTCTGAGCATCTCATTATCCTTCTATTTTTCTTTGAAAAGGTCTGATTTCCTTGTCTCGACCTTGATAGCCCCGGCGTGTGCTTTCACGAAAGAATGTGCACGCATAGAAAATGAGTCAATAGAATTAGGAGGTAAGTTGTGATACCATATCATAGTTCCTTTTGACAGGGTCTCTCTGAACGTTTTCAACAAGACATATTCGATCTCATCATCCTCCAAGTCGTTCCCTTTGATGGCACACGTGTAGGAGGTAACATGCTCGTTTGGGTCGATCGTTCTGTTGTACTTAGGGATCTCGGGCATTCGGAACTTCTTAGGGATCGGCTTTGGAGCCGCGCTCGGAGGAAAAGGTTTTTGCATAAATTTCTTGGAATCCAATCCTTTCAATATTGGCATTGTGACAGGGATTTGTTTGACCCTAGAATTGTAGGTTTCTACCTTTTGTCATTAGCTTCGATTTTCTTCTCCCCTGATTCTATCAATTTTGTCAGTTCCTCGAGCATCTTTATGATCTCGGGGTTAGTCCCCGATTTGTTTTCATGCGACCTCTCTGCGATCGGTTCATCCCTGCGGGCGACTTCCCGGGACGGATCGGGTTCAATTCTGCTGGGTGCACGACTTCGGTTCTGTAACTGAGCTATCGTCGCATGTTGAGCATATAACATTTTGAAGATCATCCGTAAATTGATCCCGTCTCATCATATGTTTTATGTATTTTGAGCTATTGATCGGGCTCTACCACGGACGCTATTCTCGGGGTCGGTAGGCAGATTTGTGTTGATAGCCACATGCGAGTTAGCGTCAATAGGGTTTGCGACCGGAATTTCGATGAGATCAACGGGCGGTACCTCGTCACTGGGCACTATGTTGTTATTTTTGCCGTGATGGACTGACTCATTATCAACGTGTAGTGATACTGACTGAGAGTTTGACATTTTGAGATTTAACTTGAAATTAGAGACACTTCAAAGAACAAATGTAAAGTAGTATGTGTTATGGAGATTTGTATCAAATAACCACTATTATCCTTAGCCCCACAGTGGGCGCCAAACTGTTTACCCTCAAAATCGGATAACAATTGAATTTATAAGTGGTTTTAAGGATACGTGGATTAACTTGACACAAAATGATAAATTAAAATAAATAATGATAAAGTAAATGCAAACCACACGAATTGGACAATTTCAGCCTTGGAAGGTTAGCCACCCTCGAGCCGAATGCACTTCGATCGGTATCAAGACTCAGAAGAATAAGAGCTTAAAGAGAATAATAATAATGTGTTGCTTTGGAATGCGTATTACAATGTCTTAAATGAATTATCAGATCCCTTTTATATAGTAGAAGAGTCCTACTTTAGGTACAATTCTATAAAAGGTAAAAAATCTCTTGATTTGCCGATTGCCAGTTCCTCATTGATACGTGCCGAGACTCCCGCCGTAATATACAACCGGCCACGGATATTTAGGTCTTCCGTTATGCTAACAATGTTTCTTCAAACTCATTCGGGGCTGAAATTGATTTCAGGATCACGACCCCGATACTCTTGAAGGCATGCGCTCCAACCCCGGGATCTAGCCCGATGGGACTTGGGGTCGATCTTCAGTCCTTTATTGCCATGTTCCGAACTTGACCTACTATGTCGTAGGCGAACTCGATTTTTACCGTATACACTGTTTCACAATGAGTAATATCATATTTCTTTATTTAGGGATAATTTAATTTTTAATTTCATTTTATCTTAATATTCAACTTTTATAGCGATACAAATATCATAATATATTTAGGATCATAAATTACAAAAGCCTTATAATCATACAAAAATACAAATTTAAAAGATTTTTTTTTCTAAAACTTAGGGCATGTTTGGATGGGCTTAAAAGCTGGTCAAATTAGCTTTTAAGTAGTTTTTAACTCGTGGAAGTGTTTGACAACCAAGAAAAGGGCTTTAAAAAGTTAAAATCTACTTTAAAAAAGCCAAAACCAATAAGTTGAAAAACTCAACTTTTTCGAAATTGGAGTAAAAGCCATATTGCTTTGACCAAAGATATTACATTCTTATCCCTTATAAAAAATTTTAATTCCAAAATTACCCCTTAGTAGAAAACCCTACAACATACTATCTTTTCTTTTCTCCATTCTTGTTGCAGCAGCCTCTGCTTTCTTCTTCGTCTTCTTCCATATCTTTCCTCTGTTTTCCTTTCATTTCTTTCTTTACACTTTCATTCATTATTTTTCCCTCTTTTCCCTTTCCTTTCTTTCTTCCCCAGTGTTGCTCACTTCCCCGTCACATTCCTTTTGTCAATTCTAATCTTCGTTCTTCATCTTGCCTTTGCTATTGTCATTCTCCAATATTTGTCAATTTCTTGAAGTTCTTAACGTCAGCAAATAGTAGTTTTTAAAATAATGTTTGATACATTCCAATATTTTGTAAATATTGTTCTTTTAGCTTCTTTTTTTGGTTCCGTAATATTTAATTTTTTTGGTCGTTGAATCCTTCCTTTTTTTTAATTGGTGTGACTATATTCTTAAATCAAATCATTCAATGAATTTGAAGCTATGAACGGATAATATAATATTATAGTCATCATCTTCTTTATAATGCTAACAACTTTAAGAATATTTCAGTCATTGTAACAAGAAAAAGTGCTTACCAATACTTGTTTATCAAACAATTCATCAGCTTGTTTTCAGTTTCAGCAGTTTTATCCAAACATGTAACTGCTTATTTATAAAACAAGATCCACAACTTATAAAGTACTTTTAAGCACTTAACTTAAAAGCCATTTTTTAAGCCAATCCAAAATGGCTCTTAATCAAGCTATATCATATAAATTGAAGTAATAGAGCAAATAAATCAAGTCGATGGAGTTCCACAAATAAAGACAAAAAAGTCTCCGTCCCATAGTTTCCACCCCGTATCCTCTATCCTTGTCAAGAGCAGTTGCCAAGAAAAAACTATCTTCCTTGCGAAGGTATAGTACTAGTTTTCCACAGCATAATTAAAACTATGCATTTGGTCGTGTCCTCTTACTTGTTCCTCCATTTCCTATAAATTAAAGCGTCATATATAATCAGACGACTCAACTAAGCCCTTCTCTCTCTCTCTCTCTTTGTTTTCCCTTATAAATTACACTATATACTCATCATCGTTTTGTTCAACTACTAATTAATATGGCGGACGCTTCCTACAGCCACCCTTTGTTTAGCTGCAGGAATTGCCGGAATCCGATTGCTCTTCGAGATGATCTTCTCTCTAAACGTTTTGTGGTAATTTTCACTAATTATTTTCGTTTTGTTTATTAATTAATTCTCTCTAGACTTAAACAACTGAATTTATAATAGGCAAAATCAGGAGGAGCATACCTTTTCAAGCATGCAATGAATATAGTGGTGGGGAAAAAGGAAGATAGGCAACTAATGACGGGTTACTTCAGCGTTGCTGATATATTCTGCAGCAAGTGTGGGGAGGAGTTGGGTTGGAAGTATGTTAAAGCTTATGATCCTTCCCAAAAGTACAAGGAAGGCCGTTTCATTCTCGAGACTGCCAAAATTCTCAAAGAATATTAATTGATGATCACTACTCATTTGTAGATTAATAAAATTTCTGGCCATGTAAATATTGATGTTATTTAAAACCTACGTTTAATCTTTTTTTTTGTCATGCTACAGTACTATACGTACTGATCTGTAAAATTTGGGTAACTTTTTATATACAAGAAGCAGTTTCTCTAATTGCAAGCATATATAATCATACAAGAACTGCCTAATTAATTTTATTTGGAATGCGTTGATGTCTTTACCTGCTAATATATGAGAAAGGGGTCTGATATAGTCATCAGAATCTACAAGATAATAAGATGATATTTGTGGTCAGTGGTCTAGTCAAATATATGCCATATCTTACTTTAAGCTCTCGATTGGATTTTGGCTTCATTTTAAAAAAAAATATATGATCATGTTTTGAAAAAATTAACTTCAAAAATTTTCAAAGTTCCCAAAAACTAGTTTATGACAGTTTTAGGGTGAAAGTTTTTCATCTGCTCATAAAATTTTAACTTTTTTTCAAATAAAATACATGTTCAAATATAACTTCAATTTTCAAAAATTATTTTTCAACATAACTTTAACTTTCAAAAATTATTTTTCTAACACAGTTTCAAAAACTTTTTTTTCTACTCAAATCAAATTGATATCAAACGCTAGCTAAATGGGTGGATAATCTAACATCTTAAGCAACCTTGGGAGACTTGGAGGTTTGAATGTGGACCATGGGGTATACGATCCGAAATTTAGCTGAAAATGACGGTCTTCTTTTTGGTCAACTAGTAAGTGGGGTTATGGATCAATACAACTTGTTTCTTTCGGTGGACCAATAGGCTTCAGTAGAACATTGCATCTTATCAGTTGATGTCCTTTTAGATATGAGTGATTAGAATAAAAAAATAAAATTATTTATTTATATTATTAAAAAAAATAGATTGAATAATAAATTTTTGATTCAAATATGGATAAGATTCATATTATCCACTTAAAAATGGATGACTAATAGATAATCAATGAGTTTAGCTTTCACATTTATAAAAACTCAAATTGGGGTTTCCTTAAATTTGGAAGACTAGAAATCTTTCCAAAAGTGATCATATTCAAAAATCAATGGATAATATGAATATTCATTTTATCCGCCGATTAACTCATTTTTTATTAGTACTTAATATCGGTTGGGTTGGATATTTTATTCGTTTTTCTGCATTATTTTCTACCTGCACATATTCGACATGACCCACCCATTTGCCACCCCTAGATATGACATATTTTTCAAAATATCTTCAACATAAAAAATATTAAAAATTGTAGAACTCTTTTATTTTGAAAAATAGTGAACCTAATTTTTAGCAACCCAAAATATAAAACATATGATAATCAATTTGGGACAGTATAAAATATTTTAAAAATCTATCTATATAGAATAGGACAAGCAAATTCATGCTATTGTGCCAAGTGTCAAAACAGAAAATGAACATGTGTCCAATTTTAGGGCAAACCTCCAACTATCTATTTATCTATCTATCTATATATCTATCTAGAATAGGACAAGCAAATTTATGTTATTGTGCCAAGTGTCAAAACAAAAAATGAACATGTGTCCAATTTTAGGACAAACCTCCAACTATCTATCTATCTATCTATCTATATAGAATAAGACAAGCAAATTCATGTTATTGTGCCAAGTGTCAAAATAGAAAATGAACATGTGTCCAATTTTAGGACAAACCTCCAACTAATTTGGAGGTTCAATTTTTTTTTTTTTAAATAAAATGTAAAGGGCACATTTTCTTTCAAAATTCAAAATTTTGGAATTTTTAAATTTTTTTTAAAAAAGATTTTACATGGCTTAATTAAAGGACACGTTTTTTTCTCTCTAAAACAGAAATTAATTTTAGATTATTATTTATAAAAAAAAAAAAAAAAAAAAAAAAAAAAAACCAATTCAAATTAGGAGTACTTTCAATTTGGAGTTTCAAAATTAGTTTTAAAAAAAAAATGCAATTCAAATTAGGGAGTAATTTTTTCCTAATATGGTTGTCTCTTTCTCTCTCCACACTCTTCTCTCTTTATACTTTTAGTGAATTCAAAATTATATCTATCTATCTATATATTAAAAATAAAAGTAAAACAATTATATGATGTCAAGTTGCATAACCACATTTCAAAAAATGTAAAATTTTAGGAAAAACCTCCAATAAATTTGGAGATTCAAAAATAATTAAAATATAAAATAGGTTAAAAAAATTAAAACCCGCCAATTCAATTAACGACAAGAGCCCAGGTTTAAAAAATTGAAACCTGCTAATTCAATTAACACTTTAATATCAAATCGTTATCCTACTTTTCTGGGCAGTTTTTAAAATGTATTAATTAAATCTGGGAATTTAAAATTAAAAAATAATTTAAAATAGAAAACAAGTTCAGAAATGTAAACTTGTCAACTCAGTTAACATGTAGAGGTCCTCCCACGTTTTTTTTTGGGTAGGTTTTTAAATTTATTCAAATTGAGAACAAATTGATACATTATTTCAAAGGAGGGAACAATTACGTTTTTGGGGATTGAAAAGAAAAATCCAACTTTTACTGTATGGTTAAAGCTTTTGAAAAAAAAAATAATCTTATTCAAGCTTGAGATAACTCCGAATTTTTAAACGTGTGGCTAAAATTTTAAATTTAAAATAAAACTCCTATATATAGTTGGCTCTTATACAGTTTTGCCAACTTTTACACTGTCCAACTTGAAAATAGTTGTAAAAAAATTCAAATATTGATTATGTTACAGATGAAATAATGTCATCTATGATGGAATCGTCCTTGAGTATTCCCTAAAGAAAATCGCAAAAGATGGACCAAATTATTGTTGCAAAGTGTACTAAATCGAGAATGCACACAATAAAGGTGAAAAAGTATAATTTAATTAGATATAGATCTACATGTGTTTATAGTCAGGGGCGAATGTAGCATATACTCGGCGGGTTCAATTAAACCCATAACTTTCAACGCGAAGTAAAAATTTATATGTAAAAATTCTTTAAAATTGCAAAAATAGTAGATACGAACCCATAACTTTAAAAATATAATGGGTTCAATGCTAAAAATTTTAAAAGTTAAACCCATAAGATTTAGATCCTGGATCCACCTCTGTTTATAGTTACTTTAGTTTTTCTAGAGTGTATTGTTATTTAGTTGATGGAAGTAGGAACAATCCAACATGTTGAATGACCCTATTCAAAGAATTCAAGGAGCCAACAAATAAGGTACGGGGTGGATCTCTCACTTCTAAGAGGAAGATTACATTTAAATCTATCTCTCCCAAAAGAGTTGCTAGAGGATTACAAATAAAGAATTAAAATGAAACATTGAATGTAATTTATCATATACGTATATCAACAGAATAGTGGTATATTTGTAATTTAATTTAAGAGACCATATTTACTCAAATTATTGTGGTAATCAATCAAAATAATTTAATCTTATATATTAAGTAGTTATGAAAGAGTCTCATAGGTTGAGTTAAGAATTAAGCTGATAATTATGATTTTATAAAATTAATATGATTTAATTTACTCAAATAAACTAAATCGCATTTTGACATGATATAAAAATAAGATTAAAAATAAAATATTGGACTTATTTGAATTTGAGATGACAAATCTTTTTATATTAGGATGAGAAAAATTTAAATTAAGGAATTTCAAGCAACTCATTAAAATTTTAAAAATATAATAAAATTTTAATATAGGTAATTTTAATAACGATTGAATTATTATATTAAAAATAACATAAAGAGAAAATTTAATTTTTAATTGTACGTACAACTAAATAATCATTAAAATAATGCTAAAAATTTCTTGAAACACTTTACCCGTAATTATTAATATAGGTCATGATAATATGAATTCGGATTATTATTAAAATATTTTATTAAATATAAAAGAGAGAAAAAAATTAATTTCTAATTGTACGAACTATTACAATAATAATTATTAAAAATAATGCTAAAAATTTCATGAAAGTCTTTACTGATAATAATTATTAGAATAATATAACACGAAAAAATTATTAAGTCTAAGTTATATATATTTATATTTATAAACGTATGTACTGTTATTTTATTCCCTAGGAAAAAATGCAAATATTAAAAAAATATAAGTTATTTGCAAATAATAAAATAAACAAAAAAATAATAGTCTACTACCCTCAGAAGGTACGGGTAAGGCATGCGTATACACTACCCTCCTCCGACCCCACTTGTGGGATTAGACTAAGTCTGTTGTTGTTTTTGATGTTGTAAATAAGATATGAATTTCGTTATAAAATATGTTGGACAAAAAAAGATCATCCTTATAATAATGCTAATTTCTTCTGAGTCAAATACCTTCTAAATTCAAACGAAGATTATTTGCTATCACATTATTATTTTATCATTATTATAAGTCAAACGTAATCTCATATTGGACTATTTCTAAATAAATACTACTTTATGATTTTTATCACAAGTTACAAGTAGAAAGGAAATGATGATGATAATAAACAAATAACAAATGAGTTAGAAAAATAATAAATAAAACTTTTACTATTTGCTCGGCAAAAAGAGTAGTTGTATTGAGGTTAAGCCAAGTGGCAACCTAATAAAATAAAAACATAAGCTAATAGAAAGCCAATGGGCAATTTTAAGACATTATCTATTAGGTTATGTAATAAAAATTAATTTGAATTGAAGGATAAATTTTTGAATCTATTGATATAGTTTTTGAATTTGATTGAAATAGTAATTTTCTACCGCTTTATTCTTTTATCATCATTATAAGTCAAGATGATTATAATCTCATATGGGACTATTTCTAAGTAAACATGTATTTACAAATGAACCACTTTATGATTTTCATCACGAGTTACACGTAAGAAGGGATTAAAGATTGTAATGACGATGAAGGATAAATAACAAGTGAAGCTAGATAATTAGTAAATAAAGAATTTTTTTTGATTCATTTAATTATAATGTATTCTTATTCATTTTGGATGATGCTAAACACTTTACCCGTAATTATTAATATAGGTCTTGTTAATATGAATTCAAATTATTATTAAAATATTTTATTAAAAATAAAAGAGAGAAAAAATTTAATTTCTAATTGTACGAACTATTACAATAATAATTATTAAAAATAATGCTAAACATTTCA